GGGGTTAGGGTTCAGGGGTTTGGGGTTTAGGGTTTAGGGTTTGGGGGCCTTAAATAAGGTTTTAGGGTCTGGGGTTTAGGGTTTAGGGTTGTAGTATCTTTATATGAAATTGAATAAGGTTTTAGGGTATGGGGTTTAGGGTTTAGGGTCATGGTCTCACTATAATAAGGAACCCTAAGGAGTAATATTGGTAATTATTTCGGCTTCTATAGTACTGCAGAAGCACTGATGCTGCAGGCAAGACTCGTTCAAGACAGCGAAGCCAAGTACCTGTTGGGGTTCAAGAGTCTGGGGTTTAGGGTTACCCATAGGCCCCATAGTAGTTCCTTTTTGGGGTTACCTTTTAGGATTCTATGTATGAACCCCAAAAAGGAACTACTGTAGGGCCGATGGTTAAGGGTTTATGACTTCGGAGTTTAGGCCATGCGCGGTTCGTGACATTCAGAAAACAGGGAAGCATGATAGAAACCCGAGGTAGTTTAGGTTCCTTATCTGGAAATTGAAATAACCAGGGACAAACAAAGCATAGACTTTTATGTCATAATTTAATGGTTCCTTTATTAAGGAGCGGCTCCCAAAACAGTATTCGAGTATGGTACTCCGAAACCCAGTTGTTGTGGCAACCCGAAATGAGGGACCAGGGATTCGGACATTAGGGTTCAAGAGCTCATCAGGTCCATCTGCTCCTTGCGCTTGAATGGAACTCTAGTTTCTAGATTGGGGTTGAGGGCTTTGAACTTGTGGCCGTGTTGCTGAACTACAGTCCTGGTACGTGGGTTTGGGGCTTCTTTTGTAAGGCTCGCACTACTGCTGTTTTCGCGCATGCTTCCAAATCACGAGTGATTGAGGCGAAAGCATGGGACATTTCAGACTCATGGCCGTGGGATGTCTACGGCTGAGCCCGGCACACAGCGGTAGAGCAGGAAGAAGATGGAGAAGAGTTCCTTGACATGGGCGCCGAGAGAGGAGAAGATGCCAGGTTTCGAGACTCTTCAGGCATAACGGATTCTGGGGTAGAGCACCCTAAGAGTCCATGTCAACAACATCTGTGCAAACTGAGGCCTAGACGGGTGCCTACGTAGAAGCTGTAGGGCCAGTAACTAGCAAAAGGATGGTGGGTGGTTCAGCCTCATAACCATGGCCCAAGACACTCCTCAAATCCATGCCGGGCCACGCTGATGTGCTCCACCAGCACTCTGCATGGAGGACTCCAGTTAGCGAACATGATCCTGGGTAGGACGGGGCCAATGGATCCTAGGTGGGAGAAAGACAGAGGAAGATGACATCGAAGAATGACCCCATGGATTCGTTGTAGACAGACGGGGGGAGAAAAGAAAGAACGGTGGCAAAGACGTGCGGGGGATGATTCCCACAGCATGGAGTCTACCTATAGCACTACAGTCTCCGTTGCAGTTCCTTGCTTTGGCTAAATGGCTTTTACAGTTAGGATCCTATATAACACAAAACTGCTTGGCCAGAAAAGAACTACAGTGGGGACTACAGGTAAGATGGGGGGCCTTAATAATTAGAACAAGGTTTTGGGGCCCATGATACTACAATGATATTCTCAAACACAATAAAAGCACTAAAGTCCTAAAGGCCTTTCTTTGGAGGAGAAAGATAATAAGGAACCCCCAAAATAGGATTGGTAATGATTTAAGCCCCTACCTAAACCCTCAACCCCTAAACCCTAAACCCTAAACCCTAAACCCCTCACCCCTAAACCCCTAACCCCTAAACTTTACCCCCAAAAATAGGATTGGCAATTCTTTAGGCCCCTGCAGGCAGACTTGAGGTCGACCCGTACGTCCTCCCGACACCGTGAAGCTGCAACAGTCACGGTTTAGGGTTTAGGGTTTAGGGTTTAGGGTTTAGGGTTTAGGGTTTAGGATTTAGGGTTTAGGGTTTAGGGTTTAGGGTTAAGGGTCTAGTAATGTTCAGCCCCATCGCTGACAGCTATTACAGACCCGAAGCACTGATTTAGAGGTTTAGGGTTTAAGGCTTGGGGTTTACGGGATTAGAACCCGTTTTTATCACTTCTTTTCCTTCGCCTGATAAGGCCAAACCCTGATTTAGGGTTTAGGGCTTAGGGCTTTAGGATTTGAGCCACAGACAAATTCCGAACTTCAAGTCCCGAATCCTAAACTCCAGCGGCCCCTTACACCTGCAATCCTGAACCGCAAGCCCTACAATCCAAACACCACCAGGCAGCTCAAACATCCTAACCCTAAACCCTAAAACCTCAACCCTAAACCCTTACAATCCAAACACCACCAGGCAGCTCAAACATGGTAAGGAAGGTCCGGGTGAAGGTCCCATAATAAAGGTACACTTCTGCACGGATCTTCCTCTGGTGTCACAAGTTCGCAGGCTTCGGTTTAGGGTTTAGGGTTTAGGGTTTAGGGTTTAGGGTTTAGGGTTTAGGGTTTTGAAGTTTCGGGGTCCAAAGACCATACTTTTTTAGGCTCTCGGGCGAGTTTGAGCCTCTAGCAGTTAAGAGTGCTTAGAATGTCAGAGTTTACCAGGGGTTTACCACTGGAAAGGCTGTGTAAGAGTTGGAGATATGGTTTCCTCACGGAGACAGGTTCCGGGGAGAATTAGTAGCGCTACCTAGAGCCCGAGAAGCCTGCATGCTGAGGTTTTCGGTTTAAATTCCGGGGTGATCTTCCTACACATCCTTGAGAAGTTAGGCGTTGGAGAGCTACAGTAAGGCTTTCTGGACCTGCGATGGTGCTGTAAACCCTAAACCCTACACCCTAAGCCACTGATGAGGGCAACCTGTGTGGGTCTCTGATAAAGGCATCAGGGACCTAACCCTACGGCTCTAAGGAATCAGCTTTTAAGGCTGCTGGGCCCAAAGACCATACTATATAACACTTTGTGGGGCGAGTTTGAGCCGTAGGGTAAGACCAGGGCCTTCGTAGTATCTTTGTAGGCGGAACCCGAAGGAATGATACAGGTAAGAACTCATACTATATCGCACTCAACACCCTACCGATCGCCGATGGGGTCAGACTCTATCCCTTTTGTAGGCTACCTACCTTTCTACATAACAGCATCCGAACCAGAAAACTAGGAATACAAAACAGGGGGGAGGGTGTGACCCTCTAGGTAAACCTCTTTCCAGACCCTGAAGCCTGAAAGATAAATCCCTAAACCCTAAACCCTAAATCCTCAACTCTAGTTTAAGGTTTAGGGCTTAGGGCTTAAGCCCTAAATCCTAAATCCGAAGCCACCGGGGAATGTCCCCAGAACCTGCAGCCGGAATCCTTGAAACTGAAAGCCCTAAACCCTAAGCTGCAAGCCCCTGAACCCCAAACCCTAGGTTTAGGGTTTAGGGTTTGGGGTTAAGGGTTTAGGGTTCTACGCAAGCCCTATGAACTATAAAATGCAAAGAAGTACGTTTTAGGGCTTTCGGTTGGTTTTTTTTGGGGGCACATCATAGTGTAATTGGGTTTAGGGTTTAGGGCTTACCCATAGGCCCCATAGTAGTCCCTTTTGGGGATTCCCCAATAGGATCCTAAATAGAAGCCACACCAAGAAACTACTATGGGGCCCATGGGTAGGGTAGAACCTAAGACATAGTATTGGTAGATAGCCCGGCCCCTAAACTGCTGGCCCAAGCCGACAAGGCAATAAATGCTTACCACATCTGGTTTCCTGTTGGGGCTCTATAAAAAATGATCATTGTGAATCCTTCTTGGGCTTTAAACCCCAAACCCTAAACCCTAAATCCAATACAAACATGTAAAAGTGTATCCAACAAGGACCCAGACATGGTGATACCCACACATATTTTTTGAAGGGACCTACTTCCCTATCAAAAGAAAAGCTACTGACCGTATCCTACAACTGGGGTCGGGTAAAAACCCTAAACCCCAACCCCTAAACCCTAAACACCTAAACCCGAAACCCTAAACCTGCACCCTCTCCCTCAGTTGGTTTCGCAGCTCGCGTAGGGGCCTTTGAGCAAGTTCGCTCCATGAGCAGGGTCTAGGTCTGGAACCTCCGCGGCCAAATTCCAACCTTTCCCAACAACCCTGCCTGCTCCCCCCCATGCCCTACCGTAGCCAACTGGAACCTACCGTTCATTTGGGGTTCTGCGCAATTCTGGAGAAAAAAAGGCTTACATCAGGACAAAACCGAAAAAGTAGGAAGCAGTAGGCCCCAACGCTGGCTTCCAGGCCCTAGCCATTACACTTGTCATGCGTGTAACAACTCTCAATTCAACACAATTTCAAGGTTGCCTAGAATCCGCCCAATTTGGGTCCTTACACCCAACATATAGGATCCTAATGTCTGCAGGATCCTGATTCTAGGTGCTTTGGAAACATGACCCATTGGGAAGCCGGGGCGCGGGTCATTTGCAGGATCTTCGATAAAGTCCTGGCTGCTCACTCCACACACATGCATGTGCATTAACATTTATGTATCCATTTACTACAAATGTGTGCAAACACATATACACATGCAAAATGACACATAGATTAAAGTTCACGCCAGGCACTTAACTCACTAAACTTCTCCACTTTCCCCAAACAGTCAAGCTATTGGATAAACAAGTTTGGTTGTTAGGTGAAGACGTCCGCCATGAACTTGTCGTGGTGAAAACTATGCTCGTTGATCTAGGAGGCGATGGGCGCTGCACTCCTCTAGATATGGGGATAACATAACAGTGAACCCTTGTGGTGTGTTCTAGGGGCGTAGAGGGATATGCAAAAACATGAGGCGGTCAGTCAGGAATCGGGGAATCCTCGCATCAGACTCCCCGCCGCCTATGCTAACCCCGCGGACAGTCCTGACAAAGAATGCTCACCTCAGGTGGTCAAATGAATGGAGTTTAGGGCTTACCTGTAGCCAAAACCCTACCTTTTCGTTTCTATGACGCTGTGTATATCTCCTTGCAAAGGTTTGGCCTACAGGGCTTCGGGTTTAGTGTTTAGGACAGCATGCGATCTCCTGAGAAGGAGCGTTTGTATGCACGAACGCTCCAAGTATGCAAATAGTATAATTTAACCCTAAACCCTAAACCCTAGTTTGGGGTCAAGGAACTCGACTTCTGCACCGGATGCGTCCACTGCATACACGATCTAGCTCAACACTCATATCTCGCCCGCTTCTCATGGCTGATGGAAAAGCCAGATCACTCAGCCCTAAACATTTTAGGGTTTGGGATTTAGGGTTTAGGGTTTAGAGGTTGAGGCCTAAATACAGAACCTACCTTTTCAATCCTTTTCAATGGTTCCTTCTATATAAGTCCTTAAAATAGTACGTGCTTTAGAGTCTAGAGTGCCTTTTTCAAGCCATTGAAAACTATACCCATAGGCCCCATAGTAGTTCCTTTGTGGGGATTCCCCAATAGGATCCTAAATATAAGGCCACAAAAAGGAACCCTTATGGAGCCTATGGGTAACCCTAAACCCTAAACCCTAAACCCCAAACCCCAAACCCTAAACCCCAAGCCCGAAACCCTAAACCCCAAACCCTAAACCCTATGGGTATATTTGTAAAACAAGATCCTCTTAGGACCTGAACCGCTCCCAGGAAGAGCGCTTGTTGGACCAGGCCCAGATGATGACCGGCGCTCCGGTGTGCTCAAACCACGCTTGGATGAGTTTAGGGGTTTTAGGGGTTTAGGGGTTTAGGGGTTTAGGGGTTTAGGGATTTAGGAGTTTAAGGGTTTAGGGATTTAGGAGTTTAGGGGTTTTAGGAGTTTAGGAGTTTAGGGGTTTAGGGGTTTTAGGGGTTTTAGGGGGTTTAGGGTTTAGAGGTTTTAGGGGTTTTAGGGTTTAGGGTTTAGGGATTGCCTTCAGCCCAAGTGTGCTGCAGTGGGGGCCTTGGCCAACAGGCCTCAAAATTCCGCCTTGCTGGAAAACAGCGCCTGGATCCTTCGCGGGTGTCTCCGCATGTGTGGGTTTAGGCTTTGGGGTTTAGGGCTTAGGGT